GCTTCTACTAAATACTGAGCAAAGGGTCTGAATACTTATGACCATGTGATATTTCAGTTTTTCTTTTTTAATAAATCTGCAAAAATGTCAAAAATTCTGTGTTTTTCTGTCAATATGGGGTGCTGTGTGTACATTAATGAGGAAAAAATGAACTTAAATGATTTTAGCATATGGCTGCAATATAACAAAGAGTGAAAAATTTAAGGGGGTCTGAATACTTTCCGTACCCACTGTATCATATAAACACAACTTGAGTGTGCTGCCAACAATACAATCCATAAATATACTAACCTGTGTGAATGAGACTTTTACATGTTTATCACCATTTATTCTGCACTGTATTAAGTATCAATTGAACAAATCTAACACACAGTTTGAATGTTTGACTATAGTTTTGTTTTGATGTAGTTTTCCTGACTGTACAACACAATAAAGACGTGTATTTACAGCACTGCCCACAGACCTTTGTGCTCTCAGCAATGATCTGTTGCCTTTCATAGTCTGAGATGAGATCACACAGTTTGGACACATTTCCTCCCTTATTTAATAAAATCTGAGATAAACACTGAAAATATACAGCATGCTAAACATACCGACTGCATATTCAAGGAAAAACAATGGCTAAATGATTAGCATCCTCTTATGCATCATTAAAAGCTGGAAATATGATCCCATTGTTTTAAATATAAAACCATGAAGGGTAGAAACATGAGTTATCGGGATCTAATTACTGTAAGGAGCTTATTACATATTAATTGTATGCACAGTGGTGCTGAACAATATTTGAAAAAGCAACACTGCAACAAGTTTTTGTTTTGCAATTTAAACTGCAATAATGTAATATACTCCTCTGATATATGTGGCTTTTAACTTCTCTAGGTCCATTCAGGAAAAAAAAACAAAAAAACAATAACTTTCTTTGCTCCTTGTCGACTTTTGTTTAAACCAAAATAGTTTCTCACAGCAGATGAAGCATTCTTCTTTATACTGTGGACTTCTAGTGCACAGCCCACTGCACAGTGCAGTCAGTCGGCCATTACATTCACAAAATCACAGCAGACTCAGGTACCACTTTCACCACTGAGGGAGTCAAAGATGCACAAGATCTGTTATCCAACAGTGAAACTGACACTTTGGCTAACAATTCTACAAGGACCCACGCAGAAAAAGTGCTGCTAACTAAGATTACAATACACATTTTTTTCTTAGTGCAGCGTTTCCCCCAGAAAGCTTTTCAAGTACAGTGGCAGAGGATGATATTATATTTAGAAAAAAAAATTTCGCCTGACGTGTAGGCATGGTGGCCCACCATGCCTGTAGCCTGTACTGAAACTCTGTAGTGTGAAAACCTGACATTTTTACTTCAAATGTTAATGAATACCAGTGAAGCCACAACATCTTAATATTACACTGTGCGACTTGACAAGTGTTTAGGTTTTATAGGATGCCTTAGTCCAGAGCAACACTTGACAAATCTCAATCATTTACCTGTATACAACAACATATCACACAACTCAACAGCTGGACTTTCTTTGAGAAATGAAAAAGGTACCTCTCACTCACCTGTGGCAAAGCAGTGTTAAGTTGCCTCTGCAGCGAGTCTCTTTCATGGCTAACTTCATGCAGCTTGCTCTGAGTCAAGCCCAGATTCTCCTGCGTCTCTCTCAGAGTCTCAAGAAGACGATCTCTCTCCTCCAGCATGGACACCATCAGTGACTCAAAGTGACCCTCTGAGTCTGACTGCAGCGGGGAACCCGAGCCCCGGCGACCGCTGCTGCCTCCCCCGCTGGGCCCTTCGGCCTCACTGATGGTGGGCATCACCTCGCACATCATCTACTCCCATAAGAGTTGGGCCAAAGGAGCCAGCAGGGGAAGAAGCAGTGTGGAAGTTAAATGAAGGAGATAATTAAAAGGTGGTTAAAGAGAGACAATGAACACTACAAAACTGTCAGAACTTCAACATTTCAATAATATCTGTCACCCTACGGACACTTAAGGGTCAGATCACCCAGTGGCTCTCTGGCAATCATACATAACAGTGAAGTGCATCCAGAAAGTATTCACAGCGCTTAACTTTTTCCACATTTTATGTTACAGCCCTTTTCCAAAATGGATTAAATTCATTTTTTTCCTCAAAATTCTACAAACAATACCCCATAATGACAACGTGAAAAAGTTAGTTTGAAATCTTTGCAAATTTATTAAAAATAAACAATGAAAATATTGCATGTACATAAGTATTCACATCCATCCATCCATCCATTTTCCTCCGCTTATCCGGAACCGGGTCGCGGGGGCAGCAGTCTAAGCAAAGACGCCCAGACTTCCCTCTCTCCAGACACTTCCTCCAGCTCCTCCGGGGGAATGCCAAGGCATTCCCAGGCCAGCTGAGAAACATAGTCGGTATTCACAGCCTTTGCTCAATATTTTGTTGAATCACCTTTAGCACCAATTACAGCCTCAAGTCTTTGAGTATGATGCTACAAGCTTGGCACACCTATTTTTGGGCAGTTTCTCCCATTCCTCTTCGCAGTTACCTCTCAAGCTCCATCAGGTTGGATGGAGAATGTTGGTACACAGCCATTTTCAGATCTCTCCAGAGATGTTCAATTGGGTTCAAGTCTGGGCTCTGGCTGGACCACTCAAGGACATTCACAGAGTTGTCCACCCACTCCTTTGTTATCTTGGCTGTGTGCTTAGGGTCGTTGTCCTGTTGAAAGATGAACATCGCCCCAGTCTGAGGTCCTGAGCACTCTGGAACAGGTTTTCATCAAGGATGTCTCTGTACATTGCTGCAGTCATCTTTCCCTCGATCCTAACTAGTCTCCCAGTTCCTGTCACTGAAAAACATCCCCACAGCATGATGCTGTCACCACCATGCTTCACTGTAGGGATGGTATTGGCCAGGTGGTGAGTGGTGCCTGGTTTCCTCCAGACATGACGCTTGGCATTCAGGCCAAAGAGTTCAATCTTTGTTCTATCAGACCAGAGAGTTTTGTTTCTCATGGTCTGAGAGTCCTTCAGGTGCCTTTTGGCAAACTCCAGGTGGGCTGCCATGTGCCTTTTACTGAGGAGTGGTTTCCATCTGGCCACTCTACCATACAGGCCTGATTGGTGGAGTGCTGCAGAGATGGTTGTTCTTCTGGAAGGTTCTCCTCTCTCCAGAGAAACATTGGAGCTCTTTCAGTGAGCATCAGGTTCTTGGTCACCTCCCTGACTAAGGCCCTTCCTCTCTTGATCACTCAGTTTGGCCAGGTGGCCCACTCTAGGAAGAGTCCTGGTGGTTCCAAACTTCTTCCATTTACGGATGATGGAGGCCACTGTTCTCATTGGGACCTTCAATGCTGCAGAAATTTTTCTGTACCCTTCCCCAGATCTGTAACTTGATACAATCCTGTCTAGAAGATCTACAGAGAATTCCTTGGACTTCATGGCTTGGTTTGTGCTCTGACATGCACTGTTAACTGTGGGACCTTTTATAGACAGGTGTATGCCTTTCCAAATCATATCGAATCAACTGAATTTCCCACAGGTGGACTCCAATCAAGTTGTAGAAACATGTCAAGGATGATCAGTGGAAACAATATGCACCAGAGCTCAATTTTGAGTGTCATGACAAAGGCTGTGAATACTTATGTACATGTGATTTTTTTATTTTTAATAAATTTGCAAAGATTTCAAACAAACTTTTTTCACATTGTCATTATGGGGTATTGTTTGTAGAATTTTGAGGAAAATAATAAATTTAATCCATTTTGGTAAAAGGCTGTAACATAACAAAATGTGGAAAAAGTTAAGCACTGTGAATACTTTCTGGATGCACTGTAACAGTGAAAACTATTCACACTGAGGTCTATGGATCATCCTGCATAACCCTGATTCAAGTAAGACACTACATTTTTTCCACTGAGAACCACAAAACTTACTTCACACCTGTTGTAGTTAGGTGGCAGCAAAAAGGTCTCAAAACCAAAGGATATTTGTCAGACATCTCCTGCAATGTATGCTCAATAACCCAAAGCTTTCCTCACTAATCCCTCACATAAAAGTCAGACCACAAATACTTTCACTCTGACATATTAGTCCTGTCCAAGCAGAATTCCGTTTGCATTAGATGGGATTCCTCACTTTCTGTAATAGCCAGAATCTGGACTTAAGTTTAGATTCATCCTCCTCCTCCAAAACCATATTGGTGCACACCAGAAAAAGTGGTAAGATGGAGAAAAACTACTATTACCAAGTAATTTTATTACAGGGCACACATTTGTGTCTCACTGTTACTAATAAAATTCAATATATTGTATAGCTCAACAGTATGAATTTAAGCTGTTTTAAAAGTGGTTCTAAAATTGATTAAATATTCATGTTCCAAAGCAGACAATGGCACCTCTGTGGTGGTTTAGTCAGAATTCTTTGCGGACACCAAAGCAACGACCATTACAACAGCTTACAAACTAAACAGAACCAAATCAGGTAAACCTGCTTACTGATTGTTACTAACAGTTAACTGGAATCCACTTGCCATCAAGTTAACATACATTGGCACTATTCAGGAAAGAACAGAGAGCCTAATCAGTCACAGGAAACTAAGAAAGCTGTGTTGTCTGTGGCCTGCCGAGTAATTCTACATCTAACAACAGCTGAGCAGGATGGTCTGGAAAATTAGAACCACAATCCACACCAAGGGGCTTAGGTGCTGTAGACAGACTGCTACACAAAAAGCCAAGGATCATGAGCTAGAATTTACATACCTAGAATCAACACAATTTTACAAATTGGAGCAAGTGACATAGGAACTTTGTGGCATCCAGCGCTATCCCTTATTCTTTGCATCAACTGAGATGCCAAAAATGTCATTTGCCTTTAGAAACCAGTTCAGAGCACCAACGCTAGACTGTATCTGCTAACAACAGAACTTGAACCTATATGTTGTAAATTAAAATCCCATCCTTATTTGCATGTTTCAGGTGATAAACACTTTCATACTTTGGTGGAAAGAGATAAACCTAAATTATCAGAAACAAAATACAAAACCAACACTTTATAGAGGTCAAACGCTCAACAATATTTGAGGGGGAGGGCCACTCAGCATCCATGGGAGGGAGTGACAGATGGTGGGTCCTGTGTAATGTATCCTGGACATTGCACAAAAAGTAAAGATGACAAGATCTGGAGGCAAGACACTTAAGCAGACAAAAGACCAAGGGCACCACAACTTGGGACTGAGTTAGGATGTAGTAGTTGCAATTATAATTTCATGTGCATGGATCAAACTAATCAAATCCAAACTTTAGACTTTCTAACATTCTGCAATTACAGCCTAAAAATGATGTACAGTTCAGTGTTATTCAGTCATACACATCTGAAAGTGTCACTTCTAACAAGAATCTATAACTCATGCATTAAAATACTCAATGTTCAACCACGTCTGTACCTCACCTTTTAGAAATTGCGTTATTCCAACAGCCCGTGTAATCCACGTTACTGTACGTTGCCAAGTAAACGTTAACAAAGTCCAGGTTACGCCAACTTTATGTTCTCAAGCTTCACAAATATCCAGAGTCATTCAGAAGATACAAACTCCATTCAGATGCTGGGATGTATTAAGGCTGTGAAAAGGGTCCTCTCCGTGGAAAAGTGGGTAAATTCCCAAAGGCCTCAAAGCAAACCCCACATAAAGTGAACAGGGGGCAGTATGCAAAGTTTGGCCGGCTAACTCAACGTTAGCAAGCTAGCATTAAATAAGATGCTGATTTGGCGATTGCATATATCGATATGGAAGTACAAAGTTTTATCTTTGCTTTTCAAAACAAACACCCATCTTCAAAAATAAAGTTCCCCTCGCCGAAAATAACGTTTCACAACAGACAGACATGGGATGAAACAGTTAGGTGACGTGGAAAGAAATGTAGCCTTGCTAGCATTTGCTAATTTGAAGCAGAATTCTTTGGCTTGAAGTCAGTTTAAACTCAACAACTAGCCACTGTTAGCTACTAGCCAGCTAGGTAGCTAACGCCTGCCACTTTCATATAGTAACTTAGCTAACGTCAAGATAACGTCAGGTAGATAACTATGGATAGGCTCTATTTCGTATAAAGGTTGACAACATGGTAAAATATCGAATTGTTATCTATCTTACATTATCAAAAATACTACAAAGTGTTTTAAAATTCTGAAATAGGTTTGCACATCTCTACTAAAAAGATACATCAAGTAGCATTAGCTCATCGGCTAACGTTTACGTTAGCTTCCCGTGTAGTCGCGTCACCACATCACAGCTCGACTCCAAAACTTCCAACTAACATTGTACGTTAGCGAGGTTTAGGTCCGTTTGGAAAATCCAAACGGTAAATAGAAAGTTGTACTCCTTTCGTTTCCGGTCCGGTTTCAGAAGTTCTCTCGGTATTTCCACTCAAAGGTCCGTCAGTCCGGTCCTTCCCTGTCGCCACCGCCTGCCAGCCTCGGCAGTCGGGACAGCCAATGGTGGGCTCCGTGCCGCTAGCGCTTTTCATTAGCCCGGTAGTCCACAGGAAAAGAGCGCTTCCCAAGCTGGCAACAGGAGGAAGGGAACAGCGCTCAGTTCCTGTGGGGACCAGCATCAGGTAAGATTCAGGTAACAATCCGCACAGCTAAAGCTACAAAAAGAAAGAAGTTTTTTTTTTTTTTGTTCTGCTAGACTTTATTCATTGGACACAATGCCTGTGATATATATTCTACCTCTACAGTAAACTGGGCTATTTCATTTTCCGAATAACATTGTATGTATCCACCTGTACGGATTACAAGACAGTGGCCCCCTGCACATACAAGGCCTACACAATACTCACAGATGGTGCAAACACATGATTTGTAGACAGTGTTTTGTGGTTATTCTGTTTCCCTCTGTAGTTGTTTTGCATCTCTTTGTAGTCATTTTGCACCTTTTAAATCAGTTTTGCGTTTATTTTTGAAATGGTTTTGAATCTCTCTGTAGTAAAAATACAGGCATTAGATGAGCTTTTATTAGTCCCATGACAGGGAAGTTCTCAGGAGCCTGGCAACAGGCTGCCACTGTCGCAGTGCCATCTTTGCCAGTTGTCTCTTTTTATAGTTAGGCATATTTCTGTAGTTAGTTTTATGCCTTTGGGATATTTTCTGTCTTCTTTTAGTCATTTTATCTTTGTAGTTGTTTTGCATCTATATTTTGTAGTAGTTTTCTAATCATTAGATTGACCGATTTACTTTCCAGCACAAAGGTTAACCGTCCCTTCACGGTTTTCTGGTTTATAGGCATGTCTGACTCCCTGGGCCTGTGCCCAGTAGGCCCATTCAGTACTCCATTCATTTGTATGTACAGCATATGATGCAGTCTGTTAATAATAACAGAACAAAAATTACTAAACATGCCATAGTTCAATCGCATATTGCATTGTAGATAGTAAGCAAAATCTGTGGGAGTAGGGATTGATGGGTCAAACATCTTTATGGCAAATGTAGGCTATAGTGAATTTATTAGCTTTTCAAATAATTAACAATTTTAACTGACCTATACTCAGTTATTGCAGAAATTGTTGATAAAACAATGTACTGATGTTGGAGTCACAGTACAAGTGTATAAGAGTATAAGTGCACCATCTTGTGGTGCATCAATATAAGAAAGCATTAATAACGCAGAATGTGCAGTAATATGATGTTTTACCAAGGTAATAAAAGTTACTTTTTTTCTAAACGAAATCCTCTAAATTAGCCACTGTACTGGGGTATTGTAAGGCAGTCTCCACAAACAGCTCAGTGTTGTTGACTGAAGAGGTGGCCTCTATCTGCATGTAAATCCTGCTCCCTATGTCAAACTCCAGATGGTACGAGTTTGGATCAATCATGGTTTGGAACTGGTCGTCAGGGTAGAACTCAAACTAGTAGGTGAACGTGCCGAAGCCCCTCTCCCACACCGTCTTCCTGTGTGCTGTGAAGGCCAGTGTCACATTCCCCAGTTTGGGGTACTGGCAGTAAAACTGCACCTCCAGAAGGTGTTTCCTGATGATCACATCTCCCACATTGTTGATTGTGGTGATTTCACCACTTTTATTCACTAGATCCATGGCTTTGATGTGGATCTGGTTTTAAACAGATGATGAGTGAAAAAAGTGTTACTCTCATCTCTGGAGCTTTGCAGAGTTGGAATTCTTCCATGGTAAGACAGATTATATCAAAACAAGCTTTTTCATGCTAAAAACATCATTTTAATTTAATGTGTAGACTTAGGCTTTTTGGGGCAGTATGTGTGATCGATGGTCACTGATTTAGGTGTTAGAATAGAATCGGATTTGAGAATGGAGAGCCAGATAAATGCGGTTGTAAAATCTGGATTTTTTTATTTAAGGCAGTTAGTGAAATTAAAACCCTTTTTGTCGCGGCAGCATTTGGAGACAGTGATCCATGCATTTGTTACATCACGCATGGATTACTGTAATGCCCTGTACACTGGACTTGGTCAATCCGGGATTGCCCGCCTCCAGAGGATCCAGAATGCTGCCGCTCGGTTATTGGTTGGGGGGCGTAAGAAGGACCACATAACGCCAGTACTGGCATCTCTCCACTGGCTTCCGGTGCATTTCAGGGTTAGTTTTAAGATTCTTTTATTTGTTTATAAATCCTTAAATGGGCTGGCACCATCTTATCTTGTGGAACTTTTGCATCCATCGTCGCGGTG